CTACCAGGATGACGGTGATGGAGATGTAGGGAGAAATAGTAATCAAAAAAAAAAAAAATAATATAGAATGAACCCTACGTAGTTGACGGAGGCCACATGAGGATACAAGGAGACTCCAAAAGTAGGCTCTTTGGTAGCGCTTGAAGGTGGCGAAATAGAGGATGATGAGCTTAATAGAGATAAATAGTGTGTGATGCTAGTGAAAGCTATGACGAGAAGCTCCTGCGACTGGGTAAATGAACCCTGTGGCTTCACCAGCAGTCTGTGTAGCTGGCATCTGGAGTACATGATGCCTTGTGGATAATAGGTAGAAGATGATATCCTTTTGCTTTTAATGCAGAAAGAGAGGATAAGCATCTCTACAGCGCTGGCTAGGCGGGAGGGGTGTTTTCAAGCAACCTAGGGATTGTTTACTCCTGATCTGATGTAGACGGTGGCTCGATCAAGTCCATAGGATGAGCGAATCCGCTCTTATCGAAGCCAAATTCCCAGCTACGTCACTTTCTAGGACAAATCTAACGTTGTAACACTGGAAATCTCCCACATGATTCCGAATCCGCAGAAGTGATGATCAGTACTGTGTTGTACTGGACATTCGTGAGGTAATGTCGATCGTGGATACGAGGGTTGAGTCATTCTATGATACGAACTGAAGCGACTTATTCCGATTAACACTCCCAACATGCTAAGTCGATCCCGCCCGCATCCGAGCCACAGGTCAATATAAGGCGTTTGAGAAGGAACTGAGCAAAGGTGACTCCCAGTATCTAACACATCTACTTACAGCATGCTCTTGTCTGAACCTTGGCGACTAGGCCTGACCAGCCTCGCAATTGGTCTTAACGCCGCGACGGTGCTTGTTCATACTTATTACGGGTTTGACATAGCCCTACCACAGTTGGCGTCGCACAAAAAGCCGCTGTATAATGTCATTGGGGTCTGTTTTATCCAGCTAATGCTCCTTCCTGTCATGTCTAGTAAGTACCAAATTTGATATATACGTCAAGGATTGCCTTCTTATGGGCATACAATGGGTTGGATAGTGCTAACAATAGACATAGGCATTCTGCAGCTAAAATGGCTGCAATATGGCCTAAATTGTCCTTATGATAAAGTATTGCTGACTTGTTATGTCCTTGGGCACCTGGGATTTGGCGGCTGGTACTACAAACTGGGCGCTAAGAAACCTCTGCTTTCAACTGTGGTGGCTCCAATAGCAACACTTCTATGCGTTCTCTAAAACTAGAGACAATATGCATTTTTCAAAAGGCATATAACATCGCATCATCAGTGGTTTTACCAAGTACAGCGCCCACCAATTATGCACTGCTGGACTGTGGACTATGGCATTGTACAATAGTTCTGTTTGTATATATCGAGAAGTTTCCCTAATACTGGCAGGTTCTTGCTATTCTCCTCAAGAGTGCATGAAACCGCCAAGGCCGAAACTAAATAGAACTCGCAACTTCTTCTGGAAAGTGGAGTAGATATTAGTGCTCGAAGTATAGGCAGGACAGCGTCGCTTCACAACCCTGTAATGAGGGAACACCCGTCCGTGACGCAGAAGTATTGAGGTCCACTCTACGGCTGGCTGCGAAGGTTCACAGTGGGATCATTCTAAGAAATATGTTTTGCTTTTCAGAAATCATAGGATCGAAAAAGAACCTGAAAATATGGTGACAATGGTGTCGGGGCCAAGTGGTTCTAGGCGACAGACATGAGCGGGAAGTTGAACAGCTCAAGTCGGGAAGATGCATACGTTTACAAGCTGTTTGGAGGCTTGCTCAAGATATGATGATTGGAAAGCTGCCCTGAGAACGTTATTCCGGAGCTCATGACATCAGAAGCACCAGCACTATCCGGGTTGGACGGAAATGGGAGGCAGTTATAGCAAGCAAAACCTGCAAAGTCCTTGAGGCCATCCATCGGGTTCTCTCGGCCCACGTCATAATGTATTGTATACGTGCGTTGGATCTGTTCAAACGTTGCAACTCCATTGAGGAGCCCCTTAACACAATGTGTTAGTCCAAATCTACATGCATAGACTGGCATGCCTCTATCCCAAGATGCCTGCCATTCGCGGCTTCCGTTCCTTTCCTCAGTGCGAGTTTCCTTTATATTATGTATATTATCATGACAGATTGTGCATGAGACTAGAGACCTTATGCTCGAAGCTAGGCTACTATTATACTGGGACGGCAATCTGTTATGCTCGAAATGACGCTTTCACCAGAAATATGGATGTTCACCGTAATTTTTCAGAACACGAATACTGCCCCGTTGCCTTTTGACATTGTTCTTGACAGTACCGTCTCTCGGCGAACAGTCTCATGGTTCGGCTCCGCACTATTCAGCAATGATAACCGGAAGACCATACAGGTCCGTGGGGAAGCAGCGTCTGCCCTCTCCTACCGACGGGAGAGGCCTATCCGGTGCCGAAACTGTCAGAGATAGATATGGACACAGACAGGCACGGTGCCCCAACCCAACACCACACGGAAAGTGCGCAGGTCCCCTCTAAACCGATGAATGCGAGTCAGATACAGTGAGGTGCGCAGCGTGCGGAGGGAATCCTCCGGTGACCCATGCCGATTGCACCAAGCGCGAGGAGAGACTGTTTCAGATGATGTGCCTCTGTTGTCGTGGGAAGACAAGGACAACTGGGGATGAAGCTTTCGTCTGCCCCTTTTTTCAATATTCCTCAGGGTCGTCAATACAAGTAGTGACGGAGGCAGGACCCAACCACTACGGAAGGCCTAGAGTCCCACAAGTCACGGCCCACACTCAATAGGTTCAGCATCCGGGTTCTCGGGATTATACACGATGATTGACGCCCGCCCCGAAACCCCCGGTTTGATCCGTTTCATGTAGAATACAGACACCGCAACACCACTTGCCTCCGCCATTTTGCGCAGCTGCTGCGGTTGTGTTGGACGCGCAATATTGCCAACATACGTTGGATCGAGCAGGCTATGCCCTTCCCACGGTCTGCCTTCAAACTTTAGGACGATGTCTTGCAGAAAGGGGGCGTGCTGTGCACGATCTTTAAGATAGTCAGCGAGTGCATCGATGATCGCTTGCATGGAATCTTTGGTTGGGTTTGGGTTATGCCGGGCAGCAGACGATTCCCAAGTCACTGTGTTGTCTACCAAGCATAGAGATTGAAGACTCGGGGGAATGAGGTCAGATAGTCGTTTGCGCGGATGCCGCGAGAGATCAAAATTACCCAGGAGTAATTCAGTCGGTATGTCCAGGCGCTTGAGGACGTGAAACTCCTGCAGCGAGCCCATGGGAACTCTCCCTGCTAAACTGAGCGGCAGGGAGAAAACGTCGCAGTTTTTCTCAGTCCATCGCAGGTCAATAGTTAGTTCCTCAAGGGTATCTGCGGCGGGTAGTAGAGCGGAACAGAGATCTGCGAAATCGATCTTTTCTGACTCTTCGGCTGCCGAGGTGTGACGGAGGAAACCACAGTGTAGCACTTTGAGTCTTGGTGCTAACATCACCAGCTTCTCCACATGCTTCGGATCGATGTCGCACCGGTAGAGGCGGAGCGTCGTGAGTGATTGGGACTGCTGCTTCTGGTGCAGCTCTTCTTTGAGCGGGGGCCGTGAGCAGAGGTCGGGCCCATGAACAGTCACAACCAGTTCCTTCATGGACGGAAGGAAGAAGCATGGGATAATCTGGTCAATATTCGCCTCCAGATCCAGAACATCGTAGCCATCAACGTTATCGCCAAATTTAACATATCTCAAACTGCTGAAACTTCCTTCGCCACGTACCATAATCAAATGCTTCAAAACCATTCCTACGAACGCGGAACCATCCACCAGACACAGTGCCAATTTCAACGACTCCAAATTCTCAAGCTGGGAAAGGACCAAGGCTATCACGGCGTCAACACTACTTTCACTCAGCGCCGTATACCACCGATCTTTCTGCGGGAACCCCATCGTCGTTATCAAATCCATTGCTGCATCGATGGTTTTGAGATCTAACGATTCCGGTACCAAGTCCTCCAAGTGGTCTTCCATGTCCGCCAAGGAGTGGTTGTCTAGATGGACTCTCTTGATGAGTCGAGCCAGCTCTGGATGCGCTAGGAGGGTGCGCAGGAGGAGAGTAAGAGGTGGGTATCGTGGTTGTCGTCCATCGTGGTGATATATCCAGTCGATATCGGAGTAGAGGAATCGATTAGACAGATGGTGGAAAGATCTGGACACAAGGGAGAGGGAATGAAGTGTGGTACAATCACATTGTGCCAGCATCAGGTGCAAAACTTCAGGGGGTAGATTGGAGAGGTGAGCCATTTGGAGTTTTGAATAGCGTCATGTGCCAGCCAAGTGTCTAATTATGTGGAATTTTTTTACTTTTGTGTGTGCTGCAAAATACGAGATGGAGAGCCAGTATGCGGTTATAGTTCTTGGATCCAGCATCATGGGGGACAGCTGATATTTATATAGTCCAACCTGGAAAATTACTGTATTGTACCTGAATTGGCGTCTGGGCACCTTTTTAGTGCAATGGTAAGGTTAGCATATATCTGGGCAGCGAGATGAAGACTCCACCTGCGCAAGCCCGAGCCACGTCTAGTATCATGTTGAAATATTATACCACTGTGAATATGGATATGGAAACCCTAGACTGACGAGTACATCATCATCGTCCGGAAACCCTTTGGCTTAGTGGTATTGTATTTTTTACTGATTATAGCTGGATAAATAGGTTGAAGGAGTTGGGGGCCTGGAAATAGATAACGTAATGTCGTAATCCACCACCAAGCAGATCACCTCTTTGAGTTCAACCATACTCAAGCAACACGAACTAACTGCACACATCCGTTTGCAACTACATACAACCCCCTGGAAGGACTGCGCCGCCCTTGTTTGCTCCAATTGTTGAGCTCGAGGGCCTCAGTCGACGGTTTAGCTGACGCCCACTTAGCAGCGAGCAGATCTTGAAAGTTATGTACGATTCGCACAAGATCATACCCGAACGGCGGCCTCATGGGTGCTATTCCCGTCGCCAGCAGAATACAAAGCGTGCAGAGTGCCGCCGCCAACGCACGGAGAGAACATCGACGGATCCAACCCGACGCCTCTGACGGCAAGGACGGAGATGTCGTTGTGGCGGCTTATGACCAACTGCATCCGGAGACTCTGAGTGCTCTGAATGTAGCGGAGCAAGAACGTGAGTTCGTCCTTCCCGTACGATAGTTGGGCGTGGTGCTGCGCCGGGATCCAGGCGCCGGGCTTCAAGGACACGGGTGTGGGCTTCATGGCGTGGGCTATGTTTCAAAGATCTCACAACTGAGAACTATAAATCCCAGACTTCGGTGCAGCGAAGGTGCCTGCTGAGAGCTACCGGATGGCCGCGCCCAGCGTTGCTGAGCTTGATGCTGCCTTCGATAAGACCAACATGGCGCTCGCTGCTTGAGCGACTGAGCCACGATGCCTGTGGAGGACAGTGAAGCTGGTTAAGGGATGCATGCTGCGTATTGTACCTGCAGCTCTTGCTATCTAATTTAATAAGTACTTTTTGCTTTCCACACCACTTTCATACCCACCCCTGACAGTATAATGATTCCCATAAACTAGCAACTACTTCATAATGTTGTGAACCGAGGCCTTATCAAGTAGACAATAGAGCTTCGTATAAGGAATCTATTCTGTATAGAAGCAGATTGATTGGAAATCAATACGATGTTCATCTCATTTATAAACCCTCAAGTCTTCAGATCAGAATAGTAACAAAATTAACGTTCTTCTTATATCAAATAGTATCGAATACATGTCAAAAAAAAAATTAAACAGATGGTGGAAAATTAAAGTCGAAATGACCCAAAAATTGTCCGCTGGTTTGTCTGCCAGAGCGTGTTATTGCTGCATAGACTGATCTTGTTTCTGTATGCCATCGAGGACTTAAAGCTCAGCTACTTGTCCATATTGATGCTATGAGATTACCCAGGCGCTTGGTTTCCTGCATAAGTTTAGTGGCTCATGCCGCACACTTTCTGTCACAGAGAATCTGCTTCAGATCCATCCTTGCTCCACCAGGCGTTTTGTTTGTGTCTGAACCTAGGAAAGGCGAATACGAATAGTATATAGATGACTGTCTACTCTGCCTCTTGGAACTAGCACTCTCCATCTTTAATTCAGGAATTCTTCTACAGATGAGTTGCCATAGCCTATATAGACTGCCCGCATTTATATCATTATAGATTGAAGGGCTCTGTCTAGCTTAGCATAAACTTCTGTAGTCTTCTTAGATGGCATATTTATAATCCTAAAGAGTGTACAATTTCAGGTGTCTTGTTGCCAGTTTCATTCCTATTATTCATAAGCCTGTGCTTTCAGCTTTCTTTCAAGTGCTGACAGTGGTTGCACAAGGCCTTCCTGCCTAGGGGCAGTGATGCCGGTGTCTACTTGATATTTCATCCTTTGGTATTCCATCATAGCCTCCGTCCTGTGGCCTCTTTGCTGCCTTATCTGCGAGTCCACTGCCCCCCACTTCTTTGATAAGCAGGGGTCCAGTGTACTGCAATGTGTACATATCATCTCCAGAGTTCGTCCCCTGTCTTGATGATATGCCGATGATCTGCTTTTCTGAAATTTGTGGACTGTCCACTATCGTAGCCATCACGCAGCAATTGAATCACGAAGCGAGGTACTTTGGGAGATGTCTGGTGGTAATCACCATCCGATCGCGAGGTTTCCAAGTAGGGATGACGATAACGAAAAGTACATTATCTCGGCGATCAAAAAAAGGTTCGCAGTTCACCGTCCAAGGCTCTACACCCCGCCACAGCGATTGCCCTAATCTGCCTGGAAAGCCACGAGAAATCCAAAATCCTCACCCCGGTAAGACAAACACCTAGATCTGGCCTCGTCCATACCGGGCCTAGCATTCTACCTCCAATCAATAAGCCCGTGAAGTTGCCGCACGCAGATGTAGCAGTACCCTCATATGAGGCCAACAAGGAAGTCGAGGACGTGCCATCATCACAGATTACACTGGGCCCGACGGCCCCTAAGGTATCAAGACATCCTCAGGCGCCCCATGGGCAGCAGAGCCCCGGTAACACCATTGCCCAAGTGTCCTTGAGCGATCTCCACATAGCGGCCACGCCTGTAACCCATATGGGACTGATGTTTGTAAGAAAATATATATGGAATTTCCATAAATGCCCTCCAAGTGCTGGAATATAGCAAACATGTATTTCTGACGTGAGCAAAACTACTCACTAGGTCTTAGTTATTGAGTTTTCGGTTAAAAGGGTTTGCTTATGAGGGTACGAGTCGGCTCAATAGACCATCCGAACTATGACAGCGCCGAAGCCGAGCGCGATGGAGGTGGCGGATACGATCCGCTAAGCCGGCCTTGTGTTCCTCCGAAATATCCCTAACTGCACATCGATCTCCAGAAAATAACTGTTCTGCCTTAATCTCAGCATGACCAACTCGACGAGAGAACGTCATACTCTGACTCAACGGGGCCTGCATTCCTCCGCTTAACAGACCGAGTTGCTTTTTGGGCAATTTCGACTACTGAACGGGATGGTTATATCAGTTACCTTGCTGCTCTCAACCGGCATCATGGTGGGACTAAAAGCAAACGAGAAATTTCCTGATTCCTTTATTTGACAGACAGAGGGGGAAATATTCATCTTCACGACCCTACGCGTACAATGGCTGAAAAAGATGTTCTGCCAGAACGCAATGGCTTGGATGAATCTGGCCAGGTTTCACCAAACGGGTCTAAAGACCTCACGCCAGGATTGCCCGAGTTCACGCTTGGCAGGCGTGGTATCCTGGCCTTCTTTACGCTATCGGTGTTGACCTTGATGGTTGCGCTAGATGGTACTTCTATCTCTGTCGCTTTGCCTGTACGTGTGTCGACTACCCTGGATGCGCATACTGAGCGCGGACGCTGACGAAACTTGCAACAGACCATCACGCAAGATTTGAAAGGAACGGCAATTGAGGCATTCTGGAGTGGGACTTCTTTTCTTTTGTGCTCGACAGGTACTGCGTTCCAGTTAATGCCCTCCATGGCACATTTCATTGATCCCTCCCGCAGTCTTCCAACCAAACTTCGCCTCTTTCTCAAGCATCTTCGGTCGACGACCGCTCGTGCTAGTTGCTCTCGTCTTCTTCTTCGTGGGAACAATTATTGCCGCCGTAGCCAAGAATTTCACCTACATGCTCGTGGGCCGATCGATTCAGGGCGTGGGAGGCGGAGGACTGATCGCCCTCAGTGAGGTGATTGTCACTGATCTCGTCCCCTTGCGCCTTCGAGGCCAGTATTTTGGTATATTGTCCGCCATGTGGAGTGTCGGTTCAGTCACCGGGCCTATTCTTGGAGGCGGATTCTCTCAGAACGTCAGCTGGGTAAGCCTCTTCCGGGTGTATGTACGAGATCGGACAAGTTGGACTTACCAAAATACCAGCGCTGGATATTCTACATCAACTTCCCCTTCATCGGAGTGGGAGCTCTTGCTATCCTCCTCTTCCTCAAGCTGAACATCATCCCTACTTCCCTGGCCGAGAAACTCCGCAAAATTGACTACGTCGGCACCGTCTTGTTCGTCGGCAGCGTGGCTTCGTTCCTGATTCCATTGACATGGGGCGGCGTTCTTTACCCCTGGGATTCATGGCGGACCCTTGTCCCTCTAATCATCGGCGCCTGTGGCCTGGCCGTGTTCGCATACTACGAGTCTAGGTTCGCAACGGACCCAATTATTCCGCCGACGATCTTCCAGAACCGTACCGCAACTGTATCCTTCATTGGAAGTCTTCTACAGGGACTCGTGCTCTGGTGCGTCCTCTACTATCTGCCATTGTACTATGAGGCGGTGAAAGAATACAATCCGATCGTTTCCGGAGTCGCGCTATTCCCGGAGTCTTTCACGGTAGCCCCTAGCGCCATGGTAGTGGGTATCCTCACAACAAGATGGGGCCATTACAGGTGGGCTATCTGGCTCGGATGGCTCCTCTCAACGCTCGGCGTCGGCCTCATCTGCTTCATCAAAGTCAACACGAGCATTCCCGCCTGGATATTCTTGAATATTGTTCCCGGAATCGGCCTGGGTCTGCTTTTCCCGTCGTTAGGGTTCGCAATCCAAGCCTCAGCCACGAGCGACACTCTCGCCATCGCCGTGGGCATGTTCAGTTTCTTCCGAGCCATGGGCCAAGCGATTGGTGTGGCCATCGGTGGCGTCGTGTTCCAGAACCGCATGTATCACAATCTGCTAAAGTACCCGGCTCTCGCGGCCAGAGCGAGTGAATACAGTCAGGATGCGGCGGGCTTGGTCCAAGTGATCAAAGAGATGCCCGCCGGTGCGGAGAAGCTGATGCTGCAAACTGCCTACACCGATAGCTTGCGTATTGTCTGGGCCGTGTGCTGTGCTGTCTGTGGGGTGGGTTTGCTGACCAGTTTGCTGACCGAGAGCTATGATTTAAACCGGGCGATGGAGAGCAAGCAGACTTTGCGGAATGAGAAGAATGCCACGTCGGACGCGGAGTCTGGCTAGGGGCTTGAAAATGGGTTAGATTCTTTGATGTGCTGATGTATAATGTTTAATTAGACCCTCCCAGCTCTCGTTCTATGATATAAGCTAATTGAGATGCAAAGCTGCTTCCTTTGAGGCCTCAAGATCTATTTTGACTCCGGGAGATAACCCTGGCATAATAAGGCCCCAATTGTATTGCAACCTAGATAGATTGATCATTTGCCCTAATCTATTTGTTCACGGCGCTCGAAAGCAAGGCTCTTTTGTATCACAACGCATGATAACACAACCATATCCCGTTCGTGCCTCTGTATTCACATTATGGGAAAGGGAAAACCAATGAGTGGACAAAAGCTTATACCAAGGCACCACCGCTAAAGTCAAATTTCTCAGACTTTTCTCCCGTGAACATGCACTCAGAGGCAGATATCTTGACACAGACTGTCGATGCTCTCCCCCTCTACTTCGAAATCGACATCGGACAGGAAATTGTATTGGATACCCCCATGAACCAGTTTCCGACAAACACGTTCCAGGAACATTGTTATTCCGAAGGCCTGTGCCTTAACCTTATCCTTCAGACCGTCGCTGGTAGTCACGTGCAACCGACACCAACGAATATGAACAAGGCACAGCATTCTAGATCTAGCTGTCCACCATCAGTTACGTTTATTATTATGCTCTGCAGCGCATGGACTACGGAGGGCAGCATAACCAGTTTTAGCACCTTCGAAACTCCTTTCTCTCAGCGCCACAGCTAAGACACTAATCCCAGCACTATGGTCCAGTTACATAACATAACAGACAATGTAAGATACATGGGTTACCGAAATGCAATTAATGCCCAATCTCATAACGAGGGCTGTCAGCCTAATAATATTTAGTCACTCGCTACCTCTAAAATAAAAAGGCTTCGCCGCTCTGT